AAAGCCAGCGGCTAGCCTTAAAACACAAATGGATGTATATAACCACTTCAAGTGCAATTTAAAAAAAAACTCATAGCAAGGCTGGAGTGGCAAAGCATGATGGATGGTTAAATAATCATATTTTAAAAAAAAACACTAGGAAGAAATCTTATTTCGAGTTGTAGGGGACCCTGGGAGGATAGAAAAGGTGGGGTGAGTAAGTTTCACAGACGTTTGGAGCAGACTTACTGAAATTTGTCCCTGCACATGCTTAAGCAGGCATAGGAAGAAGCGGGTGGTGGAACCTAATAAATTCTTAAAACAGAATCTTTTGGCTAGGAAAAACCAAGGAGATGGAAACCCACTGTCAATCTTCTCCAGAAGGGAAACCCGAAGGGAAATAGGACAGAGCAGCTTCCATGTCAAGGAAACACCGACAACTGTTCCATTTTTAGGAATTGCTATGGTGAATCCTTGCCAAAATTAGCTAAAGAAAACCAGTACATTTTGCTTGTATGTTATTACACCAACAGACACCCCAAGGCAGTATCTTTGTACACAATAATATCTAACATAATTGGGTAAACTTGAAGTTGGTTTTTTAAAAAATATTTCTTCTTAACTCCCTTTTCAATTTGCTTGAAAGATTGCATGCATGCTTGAATTAATGCAGCCCTAATAAGGGTATGCTCACATATTATATCAACTTTGAGGTTTTTTTTTTCCCTCATGGACCTGTACTGTAAAGCTAATGTTGCTTTTTCTGCTAATTTTTTATTCCTTAAATAAAATCTTTTACAGATTTCTAGCAGAATAAGAAGGAGGATTTAAAAAATAATAATAACCCTGTCCCTTATAGAAATTGTATAAAATCAAAAATGTGGACTTTCCTCTATTATCGTTGAAAGAATATAAAAATTTTGACAGATCAGAATAAAAATCTTTCCACATATTTTTAATAACAAGAGATATGGCTTTAAGTGCAAACAAAGCACTTTTGCGAATGCATGTAGGTATTTTCTTTCTATACTGGGTCATGGCAATAGTGCAACAATACAAATACAAATTGATTTATGTCCCACACTGAGCATAATACTGAGAGCAAGTTTAGAATTCACATACCCACTTCTGATTTCATTTGATGCATCTTCTTCATTATTTGTAGCATCAACATGAAAATACTGCTTTCTGAATTACCTGTTTACTTAATTGGTCAAAATGTTCTTAGATATCAATTAAAAAAAGCCATGGCATACTTACCTAATTTTACAGCTTAATTGAAAGCTGCTGTACTTCTACAAAAGGAGATTAAACAATATGCTCCAATTCTGTGAAACAGAAACTGGGTCACTTAAAACTCAGATAGGTCTTCTGTAGCTGCCAATCAGAGCAGGCAGCTCAACCAAAGCAATTACACCCCACCAACCCTATTTAGGACAATAATTTTTACATTTGAGAGAACCCTCCCCCCCCATTTGAAGTAATGGCATTTGTTTCTGTGCAAGCCTTGTTGCGCAGAAAAACCTAACTTTGGCCAGAGGATATTGACACTGCCCATGGCTATTCCATCATCTCATAAATGAATGTATGGTAAGAAGAGCTATATACATATGGATGGTCAGCCTGTGTATTGACTCCTGGAAAAAGGTTTTTTTTTCTCCTTTCCCTTCCTTTTTCTTCCCTTCTCTATCAAAGTGAAGGTTGAAAGACTATATTGCTTTGCTGGCAACAAAGCCTAAGTGGTAATGAAGGTTATAAAAAGTGATTTTACGATCAGCATCTGAAAAAAAACGTGTCCTTACCTTTCACACTTTTGTAGTTGGTTGGAACCATTCATTACAGAGAGGATATTGGCAAGCTGGAGAGAGTTAAAAGGAAAGATTATCAAAGAAAAACCAGAGAAAGCAGAGAAAGTGCTGTAAAGACAACTATCGTACAAATAAAAGATTCTAGGAAAGGAAGAACAACACAATTATATCTTATGGTGTACTCAAGTTTGAATGATGTTTCTGATTCAGTTTTAAATTAGCCTTCTGCTCTTTTGTTGCTTATGTCCCTCTAAAATCCAGTCCCAAATGCCAGTTTCATACTTTTTTATTCATCCTAGTCAGTTCACAGCAAGACACAAAAGATAACATTTTCTTCTTTATACATTAAAATAGTTTATTTCCTGTTCTATCCTTACACCATCCTGGGCAGGAGATTATATTGAGAGATGCTGATTGTCCCATGGTCATCCTGCCCAAGGATAGGATAGAACAGGAAACAAACTATTTTTCGAGAGAAGAAAAAGGCTGACTAAAATGTAATGAATAAATATGTGAGTCAGTTCAAGAACTATTTCTAAAATAGCTTATAAATAAGACTTCTAGAGTAAGGATATCAAACTCACATCATCATGGCATTGTCACTTGATATATCGGGACTTCCCACCCCCCTTCGCTAAACTGGGCGTGGGTGTGGCCAGCCCGTGACACATCCGACCCGCAGGCCGGGAGTTTGACAGCCCTGTTCTAGAGCATTCTGCAGAACATTCCCATTGCTGTCTCTATCATTAGGCCCAATGAAGCAATTTCCAGGGCAAGTGATCTTCAATGGATTTTTATTGTCAAGAAAGAGAAAAAGACTTGATAGATTCCCCATCCTACCCCAGCTATAGAAATAACATGATTTTGACTGAGCTTGGAGATAGATGGGGGCAGTATGGGGAGGAAATAATTTACAAAGAGTCTTGGACTGGTCCTTAAGCTCAACACGAGGCACCAGATGTTTGCACTGAAGCATATCACATTTTTAAAGCAAAAGGATCAGACTTTTGAGCATCCAGTGCTCAAATTAGAGCCATCTGAACCCACAGATGCCTCCTGAACCCCGCCTCCTCATAATTCACCCTCTAAATACCAAATATATATACCTCAAACTCCTCCCTGCAGATTCACATTCTTCAAATAGTGATAGGTGCACCCCTGGAATAAGTTCAGCAATCCATCTCTTTAAAAAGGGAGAGGGGCTTGGCTCCGTTCTGAATATCTGATTCACAGAGCACTTATCAAGGAAGTAGAAAGGATCCCGGCTAAACTTTTAACATGGCATTCATTATTAAAGCCACAATTGAAGCCATAAAATGTCTGATGAGCAACTAGAGGGTCTATTCAAACTAAGTCATGCTGTTGCTGCATTATACCCGGAGCTGATTTATTGAGCAGAAGAAAGAGCTGTGGCATTCTGAAATGCTGGTTCTTAACCAAGTAGGCAATTTAGTTCTCTTAAGTCGGGCAAGTTGGGGATGAGGAGTCAATGGCATGAAGTTCAAGGCAAGACTGGCCAGATACAGGAAGCTCTGAGTCTGCGCACAAAGATAGCCAATTTTGTTGAGTCAGACAATTGGATCCTTGTTTCTGTTACAATTGATCTAATAGAGGATGTGGAAAGCAGTTGTCTGAGATGAGAGAAGTGAAAATGCATTGCAATATGTTAAGAGAAAGGGGGAAGGGAAGGAAGGAGGGAGGGAAGGAGAGAGAGAGGGAAGGAAGGAAGGGAAGGAAGGAAGATTTAAAACTAAGGCTGTTTTTCCTATGAAACAGTATAAATATTCAGACCACATTGATCTGTGACATCAAGCCATAGATTCCTAGAGATTTTCCAGGAAGAAAGTCCACTTTGATTCCTCGTATGCATAATTTAAATTATGAATGAACTCCACTTGCTAGCAGTTTTAATTTAGCTGCAGCATACAAGCAGGTCTTTCCTTGTTCACTATATCTTGTTATGATTAGCTTTATTTTTTCCTCGTTGAAATGATGTAATATGCATTGCATATATTTATATATATATGCATTGCATGTGTGTGTGTGTGTGTGTGTGTAATCATCTGATAATCTATTCCATGAGCAGATGCACATGTTGAAAAAAATGGAAATTTATATAGGCTCTACAGAAAAAAAATCTAAGTGAAGTGTGTCCTAAACATCAGATTTAATTGTATTCCATTTTGCCCTGAAGTGTCAATCTGATTTTGCTTCTTATCAAAATATCTAGCCTAGCCATAGATATCAGTCTAGCCCAACTTGACTACTCCAGATAGATTGGAATACAACTCCTGTAAATTTCAGCCAGCACGGTCCATCCATCTGGAGGCCAAGAGATTTGCAAGGCTGGGGCATAACATTAAAATAATGGCACCAGATAATTTATAGCCATCTGGATGACTTCTATGGATCATACATCCCACACTACATTTGACTGCTGGTTAGTTGGCCAGCTTACCTTTTTCCTGGTTAGATTTACTCTCTACTTGCACTTGTCTCTTCAGCTCAGTGGAATCTGATTAGAAAAAAGATAAAAGAAATGCAAGTTTATAAGCTGGCATTGAGTGCTTCCAAAGAGAGAGAGCACCGTTCCCTAAAGCCTTCCTTCCATGGCCAGATTTTCTTTTTTAGCAGATTTTGCAGGGAGAGGGAGGAGGGAGGGAGTGAAGGAAGGAAGGAAGGAAGGAAGGAAGGAAGGAAGGAAGGAAGGAAGGAAGGAAAAGGGCAAAAAAACAGCAAGAACCCAAAAGTGGTCAAGGCTTCTAGTACTTGGGCCCCACCTCTGCTTTCCATTCACTGGTGGAACCCCTGGAAGTTATCTAACTAAAATAACTTCACCACTGAGGATTTTAACAACTTTCCTCAACATCTTTTCTCAACTTTCAGGAGAATTTTTTTAAAAAAAAAGTTTTATGGGTGAGAAAGATGAACCAAGTGATTTTCTTTGATATGCTCTTCCTGGGGGCCTGAAAGAAGGAGGAGTTGTCATGTCTTGGTTATTTGTACGCTCTTTAAACCACCCAACCAGTGGGAGGAGAACATCGATCGTTTTAATACTAATTTAAAAAAAGGGGGCCGAGCTTAACAGTTACAGAAAGCAGGTGCTGTCCAACTCCCTCAGTTACTAGCGCTGCCTCCGTCGCCACCGACGCTCTTCTTCTCCCCTCCCGCCCTCATCCCGAGACGCCCCTTGGGGAGGGGGTGTTTAAGAAGCCTCCTGCCTCCCCTCATCTCCCGGCTGGCATCTTCCTTTCCTGCGCCCTGTTTTTACCTCAGACGAACATGCAGAAGACGGCGATCTTGCTATGGGGCTTGCTGCTGCTTTCCGGGGTGAGTGGACCGTGCCAGCAGAGAACCAGCCGGGGACCGACGGAGCGTGACACGCTGGGAGGCATTAGGGTGGGAGAATGGAGGGCACGCGACCCCGCTTTTCCGCGCCAGCGCCGCTCCATCTCGAAGAAGGCAAAATTGGGACGGGGGCAAGTTCGCGGCTTTTTTTTCTCTTTTTTTCCGGAGTGGGTGGGTGGGTAAGGCGAGGGAAACCTGGACCGGTGAATATCAGGATGTTGTCTAAGATGATTTGGGATGGAAGAGGGTATTTAGGGCGCAAGAAAAGGGGGCCTAGGCGGTCACGGCTGTCCACGGGGCATGGGAAGGCGTGGGAAGGTTGGGATGCGCTCGCGTACGTCACGAGTGAACCTTCGCGAGAGCAGAAGGTATCAGTCGAGGCATCAGCCTGGCAAGGGGAGAAGATTTGGAGTTAACTTTTGATGTGCTCCAGTCCGGTATAATGATGACATGGTAACGATGGTGTTGTCAGACTGAACTGTGCAGATTGAATAACAAATACAAACTGTGCAGACTGTAGACCGAGTGGGTAATTCTTAGAGCTATAGAGGGGACAGCGCTGGAGCCCGCGCTCTCGCCCTCTCCGTCTACCACACCTTGCATCTGATGGTTGGGATTCCCCCAGAACAGAAATCCGCGCGGCGGAGGAAGACCTGAAGAAGGAATCTGGGAACGGCGATTAGAGTCTTGAGTGGGGCGGAATGTGGCAAAAGGCTTCCCCGATCCGGAGAGCGGGTGTGGCGCTTCTGCGAGTGGGCTCTCAGGGAACGACCTTTCTTCCCATCCAGCTCCTTTCTTTGTGGCTCTCAGCGGAAGCGGGGTGGAAGCGCCCCGGTTGGAAAGCGAAAGAGCTGATTTGGGATTCTGAGACTCAGGCAATGAAAAAAGTCCTACCTTCTGATTCCACTTTCCTCCTTTTGGATTCTCAGAAGAGTAAAGAGATAGGGGATAAAGGAGGAACATTTTCGCACGGCTTCAGGAGTGATTGGTTGCTTTCTCTTCGTGCAGAGTAAGCACTTTAGCACTTTAGCATATCTTATTGCAGAAGAACGGGATGCGGGTGGATGAAGGGGCGGGTATCCAAATCAGCACAAATCCAGCAGCAAAACTTCAAAAGGCTACCAAATTCCTACTGACTTTTCCTCCCAGAAAACGAGGGTGGGGAGAAGAAGATCACCTCCCTTTCACATCTCTTCTGGGAAGGAAATTAGGCTGAAAGGCAAAGATTCGTTGAAGGATGTTCGCTCTTTTAAAATGCTAATAGAACCTGCAGGGACACATTTTTATACTGAAAACGAGCTCCTGGAGAAAGATTTAACACTTGTCCTTTCACAATTATTTTTTAATGGCCAACTTTCTCTCTCCCTAGATATTTATTCCCAGGAATAAATATTTCCGCCCAAGAAATAACAGCTTTGATTCCATCGATATGTAATTTTATACTATAGCTTTGAAAGACAGGCTAGAAAAAGCAGCAAGTCCCTTTGATTTTGCTCAGAAGGCTTTCTTGAAGTGACTGCAAGGAGGGCATAAAGAAGGTTCTCATTTATCCTTTATAATCATTTGCTCATGGGGAAGTCCTTTGAGTGAAAGCCTTCTAGTAACTATGATTTACAGATAAATTTATACATCATGCTGAAAGATCAATATACCCCCAAGTACTTTGCAGGTTCGGTGGAAAAAATAATTTGGAATTCTATCCCAAAGAACCTCATGTTTGACAGCAGGGAGAGAAAAGGTGGCAGGGAGACAGGGAACAAGTGATACATATAATGGAATCTAATGAGTTGTGTTTAGGTCCTGTAATTTAAAGTGTAGCTGGGAAAGGATTGTGCATGGCTCTATAGAAAAAGTGATGAGCAATGAGGCACTCAGAGAGGAGAAGTCATGTCCTCAAGATCACGAGTTCGCCCTGAAGGTTACAGTCCTCAAACACAGCAGACTTCTACCACATTTACTGCAAGGCTTTGTTGATGCAATGCTTTTAATGTGCCATTCATAAAACACATCGAAGCATGAATGTTCTGGGTTTGTCAAGCATGCTTATGTGCAAAACATCTCCAGGTTCAAACCGACTAAGCTTTACCTGGCTTGCAAGTGCTTGGCCTTAAGTTCTCATGGCTAACAGAGTGTCCACAACACAACTGCTCTGAGGTTATCCCCCAAAGGGAAAAGTGTTATGAGCATTGTAGTAAACCCGGAGTTTATATATGAAAAGTATATGAAAAGTAGATAGCAATAGAGGTGGAGAGAGCCTCAGGCATATAAGTGAGGAAAGGAGGGTGTGGTTTCTCAGCCCTAGCAACCCAGTTTCTAAAATGAGTCTACAATCTCTTTTACCTGTTTCCTCAGGCAATTTCTAACAGAGGAATATGTTTCCCTCAGCTGAGCATAATCTTTGAAGGTGCCCTTCTGCCTGTTTGTGAATGTGAATGGGGAGGGAGAAAAGTAGGGGAAGAGCTCATCTGTAACTGGGATTGCAACACCAGTTCCTTGGGATCCTGGAGCCTCACAAGACTCCAGAATCAGTGCCATGTTGTCATGCTGTTTTATTTTCTTTTAGTCAGCAAAAGACTTCCTTCCTTCCTTCCTTCCTTCCTTCCTTCCTTCCTTCCTTCCTTCCTTCCTTCCTTCCTTCCTTCCTTCCTTCTCTCTCTCTCCCTTCCTCCCTCCCTTCCACACTCAAGAGGGGTAAATTGGAAAGTAACCAAAGGTGGTATTCAACAGGTTCTGACCAGTTCTGGAGAACCAGTCGCAGAAATTTTGAGTAGTTTGGAGAACCGGCAAATACCACCTCTGACTGGAGATTTTACAGTATCCTTCCCCTGCCACGCCCACCAAGCCACGCCCACAGAACCGGTAGTAAAAACAATTGAATCCCATCACTGAAAGTAATCCCCCCAGTAGTGAATATATTCTTAATTCTGGCAGGGCTTCTGTATAGCAGAGTCAATAAAATGTGTATCCGCTTAGGGATGGTCCTGCAATTAGAAGGATGAGTCGGCTGCCTGAAGTAGACGCTGAAGGGCAAGGAGTGGTTATAAGGGATTGAAGGCATAACTGTGTGTGCTGCAATCTGCTGCCCTCGACTTGGTAAACCAGCTGGTTGCTTTTAGCTGTCATGGAAGATGCTGTCCCACTGCCAACCCCAAATAAGATTGGACTGCGAAACCAATTGGTTTTTGATGTGGAAAGGAGGAGTGCTCTATAGGCTTGCAATGATGCCCAAAAGATTGAGAGGAGAAAGGGAGGGAGGGAGAGAAAGAGAGAGGGAAAGAGAGGGAGGGAGGTTTAGAAAATAAGAAGTAAAAGTTCTAAAACTGAAAACACTTCAAGCATCAAAAATACAGACCAAGCAATTCAATTAAAATGTTCCAAAACATGTTTATTCCTAAGTTTGATGAAGCGAAGAGAAGGGAGAAATCTGATGTACACTGTTTCCAGAAAGCGCCTTCTGCCAGAGGGGGCTTGGGTGCTATTGTGTTGCTAAAAAGAGAAACAGCAATACTGAATAGTGATCATCTGGTTTTTCAAAGGGGCATGGAGGCCTCAGTGTTATTCAGGCCATTGCTTGAGAGTTACTGTGCATTGTTCTTTGAACAGAAATTGGGTGGGGCAGAGGGTGTAGAATATATAAGGTTCTGACGAAGAGAAGTTATAACCAGGTGAAGATGGAACAACAAGATGGGAAAGAAATCAGTTACATCCATGGAATGCCTACCTCAGACACCCATGAAGCTGTGAAAAAGGCCATACATAATTCAGTGGTACAGGTCATGTTTTGCATTTAAAAGATCTCATTAATGCCTGGCTTGAATGCTGAGTTAGCAGAGGTTATGAAATCTTCTGGTCTGAGATCCTGCAGGGCTAAATCTTATTAGGATAGGTCAAAGATTAAAAACATTGGCTGGCTGGTCCCCTAGTATTTTGTGATAGGAAACACTCAAAGTGAAACTTATATTTTAGCATTACTTTAAAAAAAATATTGTTGATTATTTTCCAAATCAATACACATTTAAAGAAAAAGAAAAGTAATATGTAACTAAGGAAAATACAGAAAAGGAGGAAAAAAGTATAAAGGAGCAAGTTCTGATCTTTTTTACAGCAATGATATATGCATTTATGTTTTATCCTTTCTCTAAGATTGTATCATGGCATCTTTCTTTCTATGTTCTACTCTCTGTAATTCTCAAACCCATAAATCACTAATTTACTTCCCCCACACTATTTTCAGTAAAAAGTCCCACAATGCGTTTTTGGTCACTAAAAATAATGGTTTTTTCCTTTAAACAAGTCAATTTTGCCATCTGTACAAATTCTCTCATTTTTACCAACCATTCCTCTGTTGTGGATACTTCAGAGTTTTTCAATCTTTGTGCATATAATAAATTTGCTGCAGTTACCATGTGCAAAAACAATTTTTCGTAAGTCTTTTTCTTTCCATCTGTCCATTAGTTCCAGCAAAAAAATTATAGTTTCATTAAGATTTAGGTCTGCCCAGGTGTGTGACACACCTTTCCATTTTGTATAATTATCCAATTTTTTGATGCCCTGAACCTCTTAAAATATGCTAGGTGACCACCAGAATGCAATACTGAGATCAAAACTAAAAGGGAACTGTATTGTCCATATGGAAGAAATTAAAAATAACCTGTTAGAAAATCATATAGTATATTTATTAAGCCAATGCAAACATCATTTTTTGTAAACAATTAAGTCTTATTTTTTTGTTCTCTGAATTAAACTATTAAACAGTCAACATTAGAGTCTGAATCAGATCTTGCCATGGAATGAAGAGCAAATCTTTCTGAGGAAGCATTTTATAAGGGCATCAGTATGTCTACACATCTAAAAAGATTGCTTGCTATCTGATTAATTGGAATCTTCTAGGGCTGTAGGTGAGAATGGACAGCTGAAAAATGGTTTTGGAAGAAAGCAATGGCAAACTAATCATGTATATGCCAATGTATAATTTCTAGAAA